TCAGGGGTAGGTGCTTGAAAGCAGGTAGAAAGAGGGAAAAGGTAGGCCCATTCACTCACCTGCTGCTGCCACTCACCTGCCGTTGCACACTCCTGGGGCTGTGGCTTGGACCTACTTCCCACGGCTCTCAGCTTTTTTTGTTGGTCAGTCAAGTGGGAGACTGAGGCCCTTCTTGCACTGAAGGCCAAACTTGTGCTGAGGCCCTAGGACATTCCAAGCCTCATGTAGGTGTCCTACAGGTTGCTGCCATGACCCACCTGTGACATCATTCCCAACCCCCTAGTGTCTCATTCCCTGTCTGGTGTTGGTATTTGTGCTTGAACTGGGCACAGGCATAGCAATCGCTCTCAGGTTGCCGCACCTTCCCTTAGAGGAAGGCTGGGGATTTGTGTACTCATGCCCCAGGGGGTGCTGTTGGCTCTGTGTGTGTGTGTGTGTGTGTGTGTGTGTGTGTACACGTGGACTGGGGCAGGAGTCCCAGCATCCTCTGCCTTCCCAGATTCCCCGAGTCTCCCGGGACTTCTGAGGCCACCCTGTACTGTGTGGCAGGCTTGCTCACAGCCGCCTCTTTTGGCATCTGTCACAGACACCAAATCTTTTGGTCTTCTGGACCTGGTTGCTCATACAGGAAGTCGATTACTCATTCGCTGTGTTTCCCTTAGCTGTTTGTGATGTGGCTCTAAAAATGGAGCTCTAAAACAAATGTGCTAAGTGATGAGGGAGTCGGCAAACACTGGTGCCTGCGCCTCCCTGGCACCACGCTGGGATTGGGCCCTGGGAGTCTCCCGCCGGGGAACCCTCTCCAGTGGGCAATTCTAACTCAAGGGTGTATCACTGAAGTGCTGAAGGGGGCAGTGCCCCTCCCACGGGCCACCCAGGTTCCTTCGAACCATGAGGATCCATGGAGGAGACCTGGACTCCTAGGTGAAAGACGGAATTTTCCTGAGAAGACAGAACTGGAAACACATTTAGAACAAGCTTAGGAGAATGGTTGCCAGAGTATAGTGTGTGTGTGTGTTGTGTGTTCCCCAATGTTGCCTGGAGTTGGAGGAAAAGGCAGCTGGGGACTGACTGCCTGGAGGCTGGAGAGAGGGCGTGGCCACACAGCAGGGAGTCTTTGCTTTTTTTCCCCTCCCTTTCCTCCAACATCCCTGTCAGACTGGAGGAGTGAGAGGGTGTGTGTGGGTGTGGGTGTGGCGCCTTCTTGCCTCTTCCGTCTCTGCGTTAGTTGTCAGACCCCGAGCCTGCACCACACGAGCTTAGCTGTTTTCCCGCTCCTTTCTCAAGGGAGCTCTGTGTTCACTCAGACCCAGCTCCTCTCCAGAGCTTCAGGTCTGATCTTTCTTCTTGTTTGGCAGTGTGCACATGGGACTCCCAGCAGTGATAAAAATAGCTTCGGGTGTCTCCCAGGAACTAGACTCTCCGAAGAGGGATCACAGTACTCGGGAAGACATCTAGGCCAGAGAACTTGTATAGCCAAATGTAATTTTTATATTCTACATGGCTTTTCTTTCTTTTCTTTTTCTTTTTTTTTTTTTTTTTTTTTTTTTG